GCGTTTGGTTCATTTTGCAAGCCTGAGCATCAGAAAAATGCTCACATTCTTGACGGTTCGTCGGAGCAAAGAACGAGCCATCGACCTCTGGGCTTTCGATCGATCTTCGGAGATCCTGACCTGAGGGTCTGACGGAAACTGCTGTCAAATGCCAGGCAAATTCTGATGGCGGCTTTGACGTTCCGCATGACCGACCTTTGTGCCTTGTAAGTTTGAGACCCAAAAATTTTAAAGCATCCTGGAATCGGGATGATTTTTGTCAGCGCGCTTGAGAATCTCTCGTTGTCTCGTAAAAAGCTGTTCGATTGACGTCGACCACAAACGGTTGTTCGCTCTCTCAATGCTTTGCAAACCTGAACATCACAAGATTGAATCTCGAAGCGATTTCGTAACCGACTCTGACTGTTTTGAACAACGAGTCCAGCAAGCGATAGATTGGAAGGCTCTCGGATAGAAAGGTCTCTCTACCCTGACGCATCTGTCGTCTACGTCTTTACAGCCTGAAAATCGCGAAATCTTGAAGGTTTATCAAGCAGCTGTATCAGTGGTTTCCGTTAACATAAAACTGAAGAGCGACCTGTCGAACGAATGCCTGAACGGACGACAACGGGATGGCGGGATTCAACTTTTCTAGTTGCAATTTCGAAAGCTGACTGTGAGTAGATCACAGATCTTGAAGCGGTTTTTCAGCTAATTTCTTTCGGCAAAGAGTTCAGAAGATGATCATCTGCAAGCTGCGACAGATGCAAGTTCTCTTTGTCTGCCTCTGTTATCTTGCAAACCTGAAAATTAAGAAATGTTTAAAGATTTTACATGGCGAAGATATATCTGACAATAGCGCAGTCCTTTCCTTCATTGCTCTTTGGCACAATGGAAACAAATGTATCAGTGCAAGTTAGATGATTGGTTCAAAACGTTAGCTCTCTGCTTTCGAACACCATGCGGTAACGGCAAGAACTGTAACGCTTAAGGAGAGCGACATGGACGAACTGGTGCCGAGGGCCTTAGAGGGTTCATATAATTTAAACTGAAAACCAAAAATTGATTTGTCATATGATTGCCTACTTGCGGCGCTTCCGGCCATGTCTCTTGGACCTCATTACCGGTAAAGGCGGTAAAATCTCTTGTCGTCCACGTCGAGGAATATCAGTTCTTTGCGTTTTGCTTCAATAGGCTGTATGTTTATGGTACACTTCAATATAATTACCGAAACATGAACCAAATTAACCCCGTAATATCTGCTGCAAGTCTTTCGTGCTTGTTGGGTTCGAACGTTAGTTAAGTACTGGCGATTCAGGCAGTAGTACTTGTATTCTTTCCTGTGGTGATTGCCCTGTGGATGATTGTGCATTGTGCTAAAAGTATGTATCTCAAAATGTTCATCCTTGTTTTTGGCTTCGTCAAGTGCTACTCTCTTTAGTCCACAGACCACCATGTCCAGAGTACAGATGATTTTATACGCAGTGTTGTGTATGGCCAATAACTTTGTCCTTCCAGAACTTGAATTACTTTCAGTGCATGGCACCTCTTAACCTCGTTCGTCACTGGTCCATGCTGTCCTCCAAAGATACAGATGTTCTGGTTCCGTCTGAACTAGTCAGTCTAACTGGTGGCATCTGTCGTCATGGAGGGCGAGGGAGCGATCAAGACCGCGCGAGAAACTAAAAAGAAAGTTTT